GGCGGCGCCGCTGCCGCCAGCCAGCTCAAGTCCTGGGGCATCCCCTTCGTGCTGGTGGACATGAGGGACGCCTTCCACCATAACGTGGGCGCCCTGCGCGCCGCTGTGCAGACTGGTAAGGTCTCAGCGCCCCCCGGTTTTCTCCCCTCATCTCATCCTCACGGATCAGCTCTCCCTTAACGCCCTGCTCCACAGCTCCGTGTGGCCACTGTCCTGCTTGCAGGGGCTCGGGATTCATTCCCGTAGGGTTACGCTGCAAAGGAGCCCGTGCCCATGGGGGAAATGGGAGCACTAACTGTTCCGAGCCTCTTTTTTCCCCACCGGGTAGAAGATGACTAAGCTAAAGCCAACAGTACTTGGAAGCGGCAGCTGAGTGGCATGAGAAGAGTTTTGAGGGATCCCATCACTCGCTGAGGTGTTTTGGGTGACCCCATCACTCCAAGAGCTGGGGAAAAGCCCAGCACACAAGGCTGGGAACAGGCATCAGAATTATCGCAGGTTTGATCCAAGAGGCAAATTCCTCCAATTGCCTCCGTCTTCCTGCCTGAAAAGCTCCGGACCACGGTGAGTTAGAAACGGGCAAACTGGTGAAAGAGGCAGTAGGACGAACTAGATTTGCAGGAAACGAGCCAAGACTAATAAGTGAGAAATGCCACCCGCCCTGTGAGGAGCTGATCTTACATTGTCAATGGGAGGGAAATGACCCTGAAGCTCATTGAGCATCAGGAGAGGGGCCCAGCCCCTGGCCCTGCCTGCACACAATGCTCCTCACAGGAGCCAGGAGCACCTTAGGAAGGAAGCAACAGAGTCTCCCTAGCTCTTACACGGGGAGATCTTCTCCCCGGTGTCTCCTCTTGTTACAGGATTCGCCAAGAAGACCTTCATCTCCTACTCCGTCACCTTCGGCGACAGCTTCCGACAAGGCCAAGTTGTTGGGATAGACCCCGAGAAGCAACAAGTCTTGCTGAGCGATGGCGAGGTGGGTGCGCTGTGGTGACAGTGGATGCAATAGCTGGGAGCCAGTAGCCCGGCTGGGGTGCTGGTGCTGAAAGCCGGTGCCGAAGGGGGCACGTTGGGAAACCCTCCTCAGCGGGGTTCTTTGGTCGGGAGAATGCAGCACTCCAAATCCAGGCTGCTTTGGCTGCAGCTGAGGGTGGCTGGTTGGACAAGGGACTTGAAATGAAGGTTTCAAAGTGCTGCCTGTGCACGGAGACCCTCTGGAGAGACACAGCGAGGTGAGCAGGACCACAGGGCACCTGCACGCACGGGCGGTGCCTCTGGTGCCTGAGTCAGTGCTCTCTGCGCTAGTTTAATGCCCACTGGATGGGGAAAAGAGCATCGCTCTCCTTTGCAAAGCTGCAGCGGGTGCCCTGTGTGGAATCCTGGCCTGGGAAACGCAGAAGCTGGACTTTGCACTTGGAGATAGGCAGGCTCCAGAAATGCTGCTCTGCTGCAGCAAACACCCTCAGAAAAGTGAAGCAGAGTTCAGCTAAGCGCAGTAATCCTGACCTGCCAAATACAAACATGTATTGGGCTCAGGGTTCACACACACCTCAGGGTTCCTGTTCTGAGCTAAACCTTTGGACCCAAACTTGTTTGAGAGGTGCCGACTGCAACCAATGCCTGACAAGGTGGGTGAAGCAGCCCCAGGCTGTCCCAGCTAAAAGCTTTTGTGGAAATACTCCTGCATTTAGTCATCCCACAGAGCTCAGGGCAGAGAGACTCCGCCTGCTCCGTCTGCTCCAAGCGTCTGGAGCTGCATGGAACGGTGCGCAGTAAATACTGCGCACCACCTAGTGCTCATGACTTTTATTTTCGTGGCTCAGCCTGGGGCTCAGCACGTAACTGGAGAGCTCGAAGAGCCCTTCCTAACACCAGGAAAAACAAACAAACAAACAAACAAAAAACATAAGCAGCAGATCTGGAAACTTCTCAGCCAGAGCATCTCAAGCCTTCAGAAGAGGGTCACATCACTACTGGGGAGCTTTTCCAGGCTGATAGACCTTAAACATGAGCTTTTCTTGTCCCTGGGGACTTAAAGCTGTTTCCTCTAAGCTTAGAGCAGTCTTTTCAAAACACCTCATCCAAAGAGGACGGCACCTCAATCAGATATCTTCCTAAAATCACTTTCTAACAGTGGCAAACAGTTTCCTAACTGAAGGAGGGGCTGGTGGAGGTAAGTGCATAGTATGCAGGGGGAACAACTGTGTTTTAGGCTCTCTCTAAGAAGTCTGTCATCCTCTTCTCAGGAGCTTCACTACTCCCATCTCATTCTTGCAACGGGCAGTGACGGGCCATTCCCTGGCAAGTTCAACAAAGTCATTGACATGGAAAGTGCCATCCAGAGCTACGAGGACATGAACAAGGAGGTGAGGAGCCAAGCTCTTTCCTAGGAAGCGTTGCCTCCCTTAATTCAACCTCCCTGGCTTCTCTTGCTTTCTACCTAACAAGTTGGGTGGCTTATTGCTGTGAGGGGGAAGGACCATCCACCGCGTGGCTGGCGGGATCTCACCTCCCGCACGTGACAGTTCTCTGGTGACATCATCCGTTTGCTTCAAGGTCGAAAAGTCTCAGCGCATCCTGGTCGTGGGAGGAGGTTCTGCTGGAGTGGAGATGGCTGCAGAGATCAAAACAGAGTACCCAGCCAAGGAGGTAGGAACAGATTTGTTGCGACTGACTTCGTTCCGCGGTTCCAAGGCTGCTCCGTGACGGTCCCCTTGGAAGGCCCTCAGCTCGGTGAAGCTCAGGAGCTTCCACAGCACCTGACCACCTCCTGAGGGCTCCCTGGAGGCTGCCACCAGCAGCGCCCGCTGCAGAGGCCCGCGTTAGCTCTCCGCCCGCCTCAGCGCGATGGGAGGAAGCTGCCTAGCGCTCCCTCAGCCCTGCGCGCGGGGAGGGCTCTCTTGCTGGACGCGTCCCCTCCACTCTGCTGCTTTGTCCGCAACAGGTCACCCTCATTCACTCGAAAATGGCCCTCGCTGAGGTGGAGCTGCTACCCAGTGTCCGTCAGGAAGTGAAAGAGATTCTCCTCCGAAAAGGAGTGCACCTCCTGTTAGGTACGTAAGGATTCAGCCTCCAAGCTCTACAAACAGCTCCTCCCCTAGCCCAAGGGCTCCAGCTGCCTTGAATTTCTGTTTCTCTAGCTACACGCGGGCTATTTGGCAAGGGTTTGTGACCTTGAGCGCCCTCTGTTACAACAGGTGAAAGGGTCACCAACCTTGAGAAGTTCACTCCAAACTGCTTCCAGAAGGACACGGTGGTAAGGACAGAAAAAGGCACGGAGCTTACCGTTGATATGGTGATCCTGTGCACAGGGATCAAGATCAACTCCTCAGCCTACGCCAGCGCGTTTGGTAAGTGCCATCTCCGAGGAACCCTTGTGTCCTCGTTCAGCATAAGGCAGATTCAAGATGACAGGAACTCAAAAATCCGTATGAAAACTCACCCTTTGTCACCACAGGGGATAAAATGGCAAGCGACGGTGCTTTGAGAGTTAACCAGCACCTGCAGCTGGAAGGCTACGAGAACATCTATGCCATCGGGGACTGTGCGGACCTGAAGGAACCCAAGATGGCCTACCATGCTGGGCTCCACGCCAACATCGTGGTGACAAACATCGTCAACAGCCTGAAAAACAAGCGTCTCCAAGCCTACCGACCAGGTAAGGCCACGTGGGAGCTGCTCACCTCACCTGCTGGCCTCCTCTTCTGCAGGGAACAGCTCTGCTCTTCAGGGAATGAAGGGAGCTGCACTTGGGACCAATACAGTCCAGGCTTCACCTTGGTTCCAGAAAAGACACTGCAGAAGTGACTGTGTCACTCCGTGCGCTAAACATGGCCTTTCTTCACTAATATTGCTGACAAATCTACTGGGGGCTGTCTTCTATTTGTCAAAATTGTTTGCTTTGCTTTAAATTGCGTGCAGCCAACTTAAGTCCTAGGAACAAAGAAATGACTTGACTATCTCGTCCCTCCCTTGCATTAGTCAGCAACTGCAAGACTAGCTCAGTTTCCATCTTGAGGCCGTTGCGTAAGAACGGATGGTGACTGGACAGATATTCAGCTCTTGAGTGGCTGCCCAGTCTACTTTAAACGCTGTGGTTTTGCACCTCTTGGACTCAGTCCAAGCAGTTCTCCTTGCATCTGTGCAATTCTGTGTTTTTTTTTAAGCTACCATACAGTGCGTGGGATACAAGGGAGGGAGAGGCGGCAAGAAGTTTGATACCTACCTTGGAAACTGCTCAACTTGTCCATCTCTTTTCCAGGGTCCCTAACGTTCCTGCTTTCCATGGGCAAGGACGACGGCGTAGGGCAGATCAACGGCTACCACGTGGGACGCCTCGTGGTGACCATGGCCAAGAGCCGGGACCTCTTCGCCTACAAGAGCTGGAAGACCATGGGGCAGCCGATGCCCAACTAGGGTGTTGGGAACCAAACCTGCAAGGGCTGTAGGCACGGGGAGATGGTGAGGGCCTCAACACACCGTCTCCTAGAGAGCCTCCTGAGGCCACTCTGCACCGCGGTGCATTTAAGGGGGCCCTGGGTTGCTGGAAAGGGGGAGCAGGTGCTTTCCAATTCGCCACAGAGCTCTCCTGGGAAAAGCAGGGCAGGAACGTCCCTCTTGCTCCCCTGCGGAGGCAGGTCAGGGCAAGAACTGCGGTTTCCTGGGATTTGTAACAATAAACACTGCTTTTTCCAAAGCTGCTGTGGTTGGTTTGTTCTCGTGTGCTTCTGCCCCCCAGCCTTCTCCACGGCTGCTCTTCCAGAAGACGAGTTCTCACCTGGTACAAGCCTGGTGCTTCGGTACAGACGCAGCTGCCAGAGGTGAAGGAGAACGGCTCAAGCCTGCAGAAGGCGACCCCATTCCTGCAATTCCGAGTAAAAGGCAGCTTTGGGGCTACACCTCCTGCTACACTTGGGTTAGGTGAGAAGCTTCCAGAGCAAAAGGAGAGTTTATAACAATAACCACACTCGACACATCTTTTTCTTCTTTTTTCTTATAAAACAAACAAGAAAAATCACCATGAAATATTCTCGTAGGAATTACAGAGATTAGTGTGAGTTAAAACAGAAGCTCCCCATGCGTCACTTCTAAAACCCTTTTCCCCCACCTGGATTGGAGGCAGAACTTCACCATCCACCCTCAAGGGAGGGGAAAAGGGAGCAGAACATTTTCAAGAGCTTTTTTTATGTGTGTGTGTTTGTGCGCACGTGTGTAAAATCCACCGCTACAAATCTAAAATGAGGTTACTCTTTAAAATGCCTAAACTAAAATAACAAGGGGCACTAAAACTCCCGAAAAGAGATGGCAACTCCGTTGCTTCGGGTGATATAAACAGGCAGCGGATGCTGATAGCATGAAGGAATGGGACTAAAGCCCTCTCGTCGCTAGTAACAGCTCTTCATCAAGTCACAACACATCACACTACTACCACTCCCCTTCCTCACCACACTGAAAAAATAAAACCCACCTCTACTGCTTTTAATGCTACTCAAGTTTATGTTGAAAAATAAAGTTTCATTTGGCTGCCGGAGCTACTTAGTGTCTAGCTTGGCCATTTCTTGCACGTAGATGCCGATGCTTTCACTGTCGAAGAGCAGAAAGTAAATGTTCTTCAAAGAGGAAGAGCTGCTGCTGCTGTCGAAGTGGGTGGAAATGGCTCTGAGAGTCACCTGGGCTGCCGTCTGTTTCGGGAAGCAGTTTCTGGGTGGGAGGGGAAGGAAGAAACAAGCGAGTGTGAGCGATGTGCAGGAGCACAGTGCCCTCGTGATGCTGGAGGGAGCCACGGTTACGCCAACCGCACGCTGATGCCAAGGCACTGCGGGTTTTACAGCACGTGAGCTTCTGCACCTCGTGCACAGAGGCAGGCTGCCATAAAATGACAGCAAAAGCCTTAAAAGCCTTTGGAAAAACCTTGAAAAAGCCTTTGAGAAACCTTGTATTCAGACAGCTCTGAGCTCCTTGATAAATAAAGTGGGAGAGCACAACGTCTGCCAAGACCTGCCCTATTTCTTCTCCGAAACAGGGGCAATTCTAAGAGCAATAGGGAATGAAAAGGAAGGAAGCGGCAGAAGGAGCTGCTGATGCTCTAGGACTGGATTATTCTCACAAGAGGCCCTAAATTCTACAGAGGGTCTTGTCATTGCTCTAGAAGTTGCAGTTAAAAATCAGTTTTTAAGGGCTGAACTTTAATAATAAAAAGTTATTCACGGATGCCTGGCAATTTCAGTGATCAAACTGCAGTTCTGCTTTGAGTTTTTCGTTACAGGGCCAGCACAACCTGACCAGGGATATGGACTTTCTCCTTTGGGCGTTATGAATCACATCAGCTGTCGTATTTCTAATTAGTCTAATTATAATTATTTCTAGTAAGTGTGTAAACTCTAAAATAAAAGCAGTCAGCAGGGCTTATGCAAGACCTCTTACGATCAGGGAACCATCGAGATTAGCTCACAGCTTTAAAAAACTGCCTTGGGTTTCTTAGTCAAGCACATTTTATTTGCCAGCCATTGAGAAATGTGAAACTGGCCTTTTAACACATAATTATGTTTGAGGAAGAGGGTGATTCTCCTCCTAAGGAAAACATTTTGTCCATCTAGGTGTTTAATACAAGCTCTGAGATGACTTAAGCAAATACCTTATGTTTACCTGGCTCATGTTGCCTTCAGTATTACGCTGGTGCATTCTTATTAATACTAATTGAGCTTTAACAAGATTCACCACGACGAGACGCAAAAAAAAAATGAGGTGCTTCAGGCAGGTAGTAGAAGAATGAAAATTGCTCATTCCACACACCTGAAACGCCCGTGACACCTGGGGCTTGCACGGCCCCTTCACGTCCTGCTCTGTGACAGCAGCAGCTCCCTGACAGCTACTGCCACAACTGCTCCCTAACGCCGGATCCTGACGCGGAGAGGCTCCTACCTGCCGCTGGGGAAAGGGGGGAATGCCACCGACTTCAACTTCTTGTCTTCTGCTGCTGTTAGGCAGTTCTTGACGCTCTCCTCCAGCTGCTCCTCGCACTTGTCCGAGCCCCACTGCGGGATGTGACAGTGGATGACAAACTTGGCTGCCAGGCCGCTGGACTGGGTGAGCGCAGCTGAAACGAGCGCAAAGGTAACATGTCGTTTTGGAGAGAAGTTGCTCTGCAGTGACCTTTCCATCTGTTAATGACATTAACTCTCCAAAAACAGGCATTAGGAATCAGCGCATTCCACAATGACTCCCCTGTAATCATCATCTGTTTGTCTTGTCATTAAACACACGATCAATCACTACCTCTTTGGAGACCAAAGGACCCAGCGTTCATTTGTTAACAAACAGCTATTCAATAATATTTTACAGCTTTCCTCATTCGACATAGACTCTGGATTTGTTTCATCAATGGCTGAAAACTGTGTCATTTACTCCTCACTAGACATTTCTGCAGTGCAGTCACAGCCATAGCAGAACCCTCCAACAATATCCACATCATCATCACGGCTCGAGTGTATTTATTCCCTCTTCAGAGCTGGGTAATTTCAGACATAAAGACCCTAAAACCAAAAAATCCTGTGGAAAGTCACCACCATTTAGGCCCCATTACCCATCTGGCAGCGCTGGAACTCAGGGCCCACCAGGCTGGAGCTCAGCGATTTGCAGGAGAGGATATAAGCAAAGGCACACATATAATCAAGAACAGACCTGAACGTCAAGAGAAAAGAACATATGTAATGTGGTATTTCCAGGAAAGAATTTAGCTTCCTTTGTACCTTCAGCAACTTCCAAAGGTCCTTGTGATTTGCGAAGCTCTTTCACCGTTTCTAGAAACTCCTTTCCTCCAGCCTTTTCCAAAGCCTTGCCTGCAAGGACACAAAGCAAAAGACCTTGGCTCTAAAGGATTCACAAGAAAAAAAATACAGGAGTTAAGAGAACGCTGTGCAAGTAATATCATGTTCAGCAGCAGCTGGTGTTTATGTTACCACTCTTTCAGCCACATATAAAGTTCACTTTTTATTGCTTTTGAAAAGCTTACATATTACTGGAATTATTTAATTACTTGTAATGCAATTATTTGCAAGGATGCTACCTGCCTCTGCCTTAAGGTTAAAAATGTATATAGTGGGATTTGCGGGACTTGTTTCCTAAACAAACCAGAGAACAACAAAAACAAAGCATCCTTATCAGCTAAAAAATTACCACAAACAAGTGTTCATCAACCACCAACAAAACCCAAATACGGAGCGTGCCACTTTCCCTCAGGAATAGTATCCTAGGAAAACTGTACAACTCTTAAGTCACGAGTTGCCCATGTGCTTTAAGAAACTATCTGCGTTTTGAGTGTCATTAGCCATCATTAAAAAATAATAAAAAAAAATAACGATTAGCCTGTTATACCTAGTCAGTTCCAGCCTGATTTTCAGAAGTGTTGTAAGTGATATTTTATGGCCTGGGGAAGATTCAGATGAAACAGGATGGAATCTCAGCAGGCAGCTAGTAGACCAGACACTGTTCCAACTCTAGATTTGCTTTTTCTGCGTGCAGCAGAGCCTCACCTATTTCCTCCTTGAGGTCTATTTCAGCAGTTGTAGGGTGAACAATTCCTTCTACTTTCATGGAGCCAATATGGCTGATGTCGCTCTGTGTCAGAGAAAGCTGCAGGATGAGAGTAGCAAGAATTAAAGCCAGTAACCTCAGCGCAAAATAGTTATCATACCAAATAACTAAATCAGAAGAAGGGTGGATTCTGTCTTTCAGAGATCGTTAAATTTATTGGGCTCAGTGTGTGTGATGTTGATTTTTAAACTTGAATTGGTTTCTGCACCAGCCAGACTGCTTCATGACATTCCCACAGCCTGGATGATTGCTCAAAAGGAAATTGCTTTTTTTTTTTTTTTTTTCCTCCAGATGATCTATTTGAAATAAAAGAAATAAAAGCAATTGACTATATTTCCATCACTAAATCTACAAGGAAAAAATACAGCTTCATTCAAGGGGTAAAAAATTAAGGACAGAAAAAAATCCGATTGGCAAGCTGAAAAAAAAAAATGGGACAGACAGTCTGACTGGACAACACATGCAGAGTTTTCATGGGATAGCTTTTGAGATCCTGGTCTGTCCCAGCCTGCTCTCAGACAGACAGACAGGCACCCTGCAGGGCTGCTAAGGCCCTCAGTTTGAAGAGGGTTGCACCCTGTGGCCTGCTTCCCAGCTGGGACATCACTGGGCAAGCCCGGACTCCGCTGGTGTGATCCCCATCCGTGACAATTTTGGGTTACCTTTTGTCCTGGCACGAGGCTTTTGGAGGACAAAATAGTGAAACCATCCCCAGGTCCATCTTCAGATGTTGAATTTGAAGCTCCTTCTTTTTCATTGTCCTTTTGTTTGTTCTATTTGGAGGGGAAAACAAACAAAAACTCCAGCAAGAACTCTACAAACAA